GGGGGTGCGGGGGGGGAAGAGCTCCAGGCTGGGGCAGCAGGGGAGTGCAGGTGGGGGCCAGAGATGGGGCAGCAGGGGGTGTGGCCGAGGGAGAGTCCAGGGCTGGGGCAATACAGGGGTGCGGGGGGAGCCCAGGACAGAGGGGGGTAGCAAAAAACCTAGAGCTGGCTCTGTCCCTACCATTCACAGCAAACTGCAGATTTCAGTTCCATACTCCTTCCCCCACCCTTTCCTGTTGATAACGGCCAGGGGAATGCTGGGAAATGTAGTTCTTTCCCTGCTCCAGGGCTGGCTCTATAGGCAGGGAGCTAACAAAGGAACTACAGCTCCCAGGGCCGCCTGTTGGTTCTCAGCTCTCATGCTGGATTCTTGCGCCCTTTGCAAATCTGCCGCCCCAAGCAACTGCTTGCTTTGCTGATGCCTAGAGCCGGCCCTGCCTCCGTGGCACCAAAGGCCTGGTGATGGGCAGGGCCGGGTGAGACACGTCCCTCAGCAGGCCCTGTCCCCGCCTCCCTTTGCATCCTACATCCTGCGTGGGATGCCGCTGGGCCTCTGTCCAGTGCAGCCCCGTCTGTGAGTGAGAAGCCAAAGGAAAGGGGAACAGACACCTGGGCTGGGCCTGGGACCCAGTCTCTGGGCAAGTCTCTGTCCCCTGGTACTGCTGAGCCCCGAGGTCTGTTTCTAACTCGTTTCACCTAGGGTTACCATTCGTCCGGATTTACCCGGACATGTCCTCCTTTTGTGTACTAAAAATAGCGTCCGGGGGGAATTTGTGAAGCACTCACAATGTCCGGGATTTCCCCCTCCCCCGGCTGGGAGGGCTGCAGGAAAGTCCTGGGCTGGACTCCAGAGCAGCTTCCTCCTCCCACCCCCCCCTCCCTGCATTCTGAGCCGGCCGGCAGCTCCTCCTGCAGCCCGGTCCCGCAGCCCTGTGCAGGGCCAGGGACCGGGTTTTGTGTTTTGCAGGGGAGCTCAGCCATGTGTCCGGCTGGCACAGAGCCCAACACCCTGTTCTGAGCAGCAGGGTAAGGGGGGGGGGGCAGGAGAAGGGACAGGGAGGTTCTGGGGGGGGCTTTTGGAGGGGAGTGGAGAAAGTTTTGGGCAGTCAGGGTACAGGTAGGGGGGGGGGTCCGGGGGGGCGGTGGGGGGGGGGGGTCTTAGGAAGGGGCAGT